ACAAGATGATTACCATATTATGGACAGACCAGAGCAAGTCATTATCCTTCGCCTTAGAACAGGGCACAATCGACTTCGCTCCCACATGTACAACAAATTTAAGATTGGCCAATCAGCCATGTGTACTTGTGGACTGGCACCTGAAACAACAGATCACATCCTTCAAGACTGTCCCAGATTCAACGCTTTCAGGCAAAACCTTTGGCCAAAAGAGACACTTGTGGAAGTCAAACTTTACGGGCCGCTTAGTGAATTACAAAAGACAGTGAAATTCATACTAGAGACAGCTTTGCAGATATAGACAATTTATTTCATGCGAACGAAAGAAGAAGAAGTTTTATATCTACTTTTTCATTCAAAATATACAATGAGTATTTAGATAAAATAATATTTAATTTTCTCAAAAATATATACAGTGATATGTCTTTAGGTGAAATATTTTAGAGACACTCCTTTGGAGCCAGATTATCATAATTGTAACTCTTTTTTGTCATGAAATAGTCCAGTTTAAAGTAGCTAATGTCTGAGTCTTAAAAAGTTGAAATGATAGCACTGTGAGGCACTAGGAATACATTTTAGAAACATTCACACTTGACTCCTGGTTACTTCCTAACTTTTGTGGGCGTGCCCGATATAAGATATGTATAGAAGACTAAGAAAATAGACTTGTACCAGTCACTTCAACTTGTACCCTCTAAAGGCATCTGTCAGCAAGTAGGTATCCTATTGTCAGGATCCAGTTTGTGAACCGCACTCAGAATTTATGATGTATGTGCGCAGAACATAACGATTTAGGCTGTTGGTTACTGTCGCACATGTTCATTGAAGTCTTGACACACACAAAATGTGGTGCTCTTATATGACTGTGTTATCTGGTTGAACAGGGTCTTAGGGATTTCTAGCTGTTTGATTCTCATCCTTCTTCTTCTTCTTCTTCTCTTCCACCCTGTACCTCAGCAGTGTCAGGGGGAGATGTAACAGTCGTTTATGAGCTCTGTCAAGAGCACTATTAAGATTGATGTTCATTTCTGTAAGGCTGTTCTTAATACCATCACTCCATATTTTCCTAGCTCTTCCGGTCGCTCTATATCCGTTGTAACGTTTTAATGAGGCTCGCTGTGGCAGATAGTACCAGGGCATTCTTGAAGTACCAGGGCATTCTTGAAGTACCAGGGCATTTTTGTTAGGTGTCCAAACCACTTCATTTGTTGTTCTGTGATGACCTGTAAGACTTGCTTTATTCCTAGCATTCGTCTAATTTCATGATTTCATATTCTGCCTTTCCTTGAAACTTCTGCAGCTCTTCTAAGGCATTTTATCTCTGTTGTCATAATTTTACATTTATTAGAGGATGTAAGTGTCCACCTTTGGCACTGATAGCATAGTGTCGGCTAAAAAAATATTCTGATAATATTCACTTTAGTACTCGGGGGTATCTGCTTGGGTATCAACAGAGAAAATAGTTGCCCCATTACTTTTAACTTTGGCTCCTGTGAAGTGGTCACGGCTCCCTGGGGCGCCACGGCGCACAGTTTCTGAATCACTGATCTAGACAATAGTGTTATACTGGGTTATATGGAGGCTCAGAATCACAGCCCATATCATTGTCCAGTGTGACTTGCAAGACCTGCTTGTGTTTAAAAAAAAAAATTCTTCAACAGTTAGAGTATGTAATTTCAGGACATTTGTTGACTTTTCTCTCCATTCTCCAAAGCACAAAGCCTTTGCTTTATTGTAGAGACTATGTGTTGCCCATGCATTGTGATCCTTCTCTCACCCCGCCTTGTTTCCTCCTAATGAAAGGTAATACCAGTAGTATCAACTAGTGTAATAAGATAATTGCACTTCCTACTCCATAGCAAAAGGATCCCCCCATAGTTGTTCCGTTCCTGTGTGGAAAAAAAAATACACAAAAACCACATAGGATATCCATCACTGTCCCATGTGGGAAATAAATTGACACTGACTGTAGTCCTATCAAAGCCATTAACACACACACTCATTAAATGCACAAGTCAGCTGTCAGAAATGCCAACACAAAAAGTCCAACTGTAGAAATGCAGTTCATCATCGATTGAAGTAGAAGTTACAACATATCAATAGTTGCATACACAATTAATTGCAACACAACCAGGCAATGTCTCGGGAGGTGAAGGGGATTGTCGTAGTGTTATCCACATTAAGTGCCGACTGGTCTATAAAAATATAGATCCTGAACTATATCACTAGAATTTACAGTATTTGGACGTTAGAATTCTTGCCTCCACAACAAAAGAAAATGTTACTGAAATTATGGCACAAATTCTAGTTACAATGTAAAATTATTTAAAAGGCATGCTACAGCTTTTAATGCATTAGTTTCTTTCACAGAATGAGGTTGTTGCGGTCAGCTGCAAAACGAAGCAAGCTTGAAGGTCTTAACAACGTCAAGTACAAACTACTAGAAACCCACATACAGAAACTCTTTACACATTTTATAGTTGACATTGGCAAACCTTAATGGCTGGATGTTCGTTAGAAAACTTCCTAGACAAGTATTATCCTCAGTTGATTTATTTATGTGACCGGTGGCTTTATTTATGTGATGGGTAGTTTGAAGGTTTAGTAAATGTAAACTTTAATCTTCTACATCAGGGGGTAAAAAAAAGGGTGGCCGCCAGCCTAAACTGGCCCACAGAGCAATTTTTACTGGCCTGCTGGGAAGTATTGACGTACCTACGAGGGCTGAGTAAAATTACTATATAATCTCTTCCTTCAGTTCACAAAAATATAAGAACACAAAAACATACGTTCCTATGCAGAAGGAAAGCAATGTCAAAATAATTACCCCCCCCCCCCCCCCCCCCTTTTTTTTTCCCCCTCCCCCGCTTACCATAAAAAAGGGATCAGTTTGGTAATTTTAAATTTGGGCCGCTGTAGAAAAAACTTTGCATACGATTCTTTACGAGTTCTTCCTTCTCTTCTTCTTCACTTCCTCTAGTTGCTTCATGGAGGTGTGTGTGTGTGTGTGTGTGTTGGGGATGGGTGGGGAGGTGGGGGGGGGGGGGTTTAGTGTGCTCTTTCCAGTTTGTAGTGTCAGCACTAGTTCTTCAGTGTAAGTTAGGATTAGTTCTTCAGTGTAAGTTAGCACTAGTTCTTCACAGTAAGTTAGCACTAGTTCTTCAGTGTAAGTTAGCACTAGTTCTTCAAAAGCAGTTAGCCCTAGCTCCTCCGAGTAAGTTAGCATTAGTTCTTCCGAGTAATTTAGCACTAGTTCTTCAGAGTAAGTTAGCACTAGTTCTTCAGAGTGGGTGAAAATCACAACCAAAAAACTGTGAATTTTAATTACTTCAAAAGAGGTAACCTTGTATTAAACATGGTGTACCCAAAATATAAAAAAAAAAGGGTCAAATTTGAAAACACAATGACATATCATGCTTACAGAGTGTATCCGTAGAACAGCTGATCACATCTAGCACACAGAGTTACAAAATGTGGCAGGATTTATTGTGGTAGGCAATATTTGTGAACATTTTTATTTGTTCATCATTCTGTGTTTTTTTTTTCCTTCTAAATGATAACAAAGTACAGTATATATCTGGCTGGAAAAAAACAATTTGTAGTTTACCATATATGTTAACAGATTCATATAAAGAAAGACAAAACGATGGAAGAAAATTTGTTGTAGTTCACAACATAGGTTAACTGATTCTTACTGAGAAAGACGTAAAAATAGAATATAAAGAAAGAGGTAAATATTTAAGAAAATAATTTGCAGTTTACCACATAGGTTAATTGATTCCTTTAAAGAAAAATGTAAAGATTGAAAAAAAAATGTTTGTTTAACACATAGGTTAACTAATTCTGATTAAGAAAGACATAAAGATGGAAGAAATTAATTTGTAGTTTACCACATAGATTAACTGATTCCTATAAATAAATACATAAAGATGGAAGAAATTAATTTGTAGTTTACCACACAGGTTAACTGATTTCTATTAAAAAAATATGTAAAGATACAAGAAAATCGGTGAACAATAAATTAATGAGCTTTTGCCATTATGTTTTTTTGTTTATTTGGGGGGGGGGGGGGGGGGGGGGGGTTTGTTTGTTTTAAGTTATAATTAAAAACTAACATTTCTAACTTAGTTTTGAACAATTAAAATAGCCTAAGATTTTAATCCAGCATTTAAAGTTCATTTAAAACATGCATTTTAGTGTAAGATTGATTTTAAAGAGATTTTACCTAACATTTAAAATTAAAATTCAGCTTGTGTTTTTAAAATGTAATAAAATAATAAACTTCTATTTACATAGCAAATACTGAACTAAATTTACAATTTAAATTGTAATCTAAGTTTAAATTACCAATGTAAAATTTAATTGTCAGGCTGAACCTATTTAAAAAAAATTAAAGAAAAAAAAAGCAATGAAAAATTATTGAAAAAAAAAGTATGGTGTGGTATTCACACAAATATGTTCACTTATTTGTTAAAATATACATTAAATGTTGAGCAGTAGGAGGAGATAAATGTGGAGTGATTACTTAAAACTGAGTTACCTCCTTTAGCTTGTAAATTTCGCGGCGACTTTGCAACTGGTTCTTTCTGATCATGAAATGCGAACTGTGTGATAAATCACCTATACAAACATGCTGATATGTTCTGTGGTGAAAGAAAAATTTTATGAATTCTTACAAAGTGAATATCATTGTCATCATCATTCTTATAATCATCATCATCATCATTATCATCACCATCATCATCAAGTGCCTTCCTAACTGGCATAGGCGATCATGATTTTCTTAAAAATTTTTGTGATGTGGGGAAAAAAATTCACATTTGAGGGAGAGGGGAGGCTGTGTGGTCTCGGGGCATAGTGTCCGCCTCGAGTGCTAGAGGTTCCCTGTTCAATCCCTCGGTAAGTGCTGAGATTTTTTTCACATGGACATGGACTTCTAATAATTCCCCCTTGGTCTCTGGGTTGTGAGATCGGACGCCCGTGTACATTGCTGCGTATGTAAAAATTCCCTTGGCAGTTGGAAATAGAAAAGAGGAGCCTAACGGCGCTACCCGGGCAAAATTTTGAATTAAAAATCTACCCAAAGTATGTCAGGATTCCCACCGGTGCTATAGAGCCTGTGCACTATGCTAAGCTTCTTTAGAACACTTATGGGTTACACCCCTGGGCCTTGATGTTCATCCGTTGTTGAAAACCTTTAACATTTTTTTTAACTTAACAGCAGATATTACCTTGTGTGGTGTGATATCTTTCTATGTCTAACAAAAGATGCAGTTCTTACCAACATAGGCCTGCAGCTTATTGGTTGGTGAAGCCAATATGGGCCCCTAATTATAACTTCTTCAGAGGTTGAACGGGGTTTATGAAATCTGCCTTGCTGGTCTACCATCCAGGCTGAGAATTGTAAATCTCAGGATGGTCAGGTATCTGTAGGTAGGAGACTGCAGAAGAAATCAACTGATCAACAAAAGACTATGTTCATCCTGCCCCTTCTGTGTTGGACTGCAGGTTGCTTCATATGTAGTAGTAAGTTAAGTAAAGGACCCTTTTCTGCGCCTTTAGGTGTAAACGGAATATAGGACTAGATCTATGTATTTAAAAGACTAATGGGCACAAGATGGGTGATGTGGTCAGCATCACGCCGGATACCTTTACTTCCCGGGATTGCACCTGGTACCCACTCGAGGCTAGGTCGACCTGGGAGCCAAGGTCATTTTTGAGAAAAGTCCAGCTCCTCCAGGCAGTGAACCCACATGCAAACATGCAAGACATTCTTTTTCAAACCTCCAGGGACAAGGACTGAATGTTTAAAAAAAAAAAAATAAGTATTAGTTATATTCTGTTCTTTATCAGTGTCATATCTGATGTTATCCAGGTGCGTGTGTAATTATTTATCTGTTAGTCATTCCTCTTGAGCCTAGGTCAGTACACAGGGCAGAGATCATAACTCTACATGTCTTGCGGTTTGTTGCCACATGTTTTATTGGATGTTTGTTAGGCCCAGGTTGAGCCTTCCCTGATGATGGTTCTACGTAGAGTCTCTCTTGGTCTTCCGTGTTTTCTTTTCCCACCCGGTGTCCACATGAAGGCTTGATGTCGAAGTCTTGTCTTATCCATTCTGAGTGCATGGCTGTGCTTGTCTAAAATCCTTACCATTAATTTTGTCTTCTCTGTCTCCATTTACTTCAGCAGAGTGTTGGTGAAGATGTAAGGACATTCTGTGTGCTCTTTTCAATTCTTTGCATAAGGTCATCTTTATTTCTTTCAGGTTTATTTTTTATGCTGTTATTTAGTCTTCCCCTCTTTCTGTATAAATTATATTTCCTCAACACGGTCTCTGTGGCAGGTGGTATCAGGGCATTCTCATTAGATGACCAAACCATTTCATCTGTGGCTCTTAAATAAACTATGTGACTAGTTTCAATCCCAGTCTTCTTCTACTTTCAAAATGTTAAATGTCCACTTCTTGTTACTCCAGGGTTTGCCGTGGTGTGGTGGCCTAGACGCTCGCCTCATCGGTTCGTGTCCTGGCGGAGCCGGACCTTTTTTGTCAAATATGACCGTGACTCTCAGGTCCACTCAGCCGTCATTGGGTGATACAGTAAAGACTGCCAGGGTAATGGTAACTACATCACTCACCCAGTGCCCATTAGTCTATAAATACAGGTCTAGCCCTAAATGCACAATACACCTGAATGCGGGGAAAAGGGTCATTTACCTGTTTACTTTCTTGTTACCCCAGAAGCTTTACTAAGATTGCATTTTTTTTTCTGTGTGTGAATAGGGATGTTAGTTGTCCCAGTACCTGATTTTATTTTGCATATCTTCTTCTTTTATCCTATCACTGAGACCAGGTTGTAACCCAGTGTCGTGGTTTTGTCGTCTCACTGATACCAGGTTGTAACCCAGTGTAGTGGTTTTGTCGTCTCACTGACACCAGGCTGTAACCCACTGTTGTGGTTTTGTCATCTCACTGACACCAGGTTGTAACCCAGTGTCGTGGTTTTGTCGTCTCACTGATACCAAGTTGTAACCCAGTGTCGTGGTTTTGTCGTCTCACTGATACCAGGTTGTATCCCAGTGTTGTGGTTTTGTTGTCTCACTGACACCAGGTTGTAACCCAGTGTCATGATTTTGTCGTCTCACTGAAACCAGGTTGTATCCCAGTGTTGTGGTTTTGTCGTCTCACTGAAACCAGGTTGTGTCCCAGTGTTGTGGTTTTGTCGTCTCACTGACACCAGGTTGTAACCCAGTGTCATGGTTTTGTCATCTCACTGACACCAGGCTGTAACACAGTGTCATGATTTGGTCGTCTCACCGACACCAGGCTGTAACCCAGTGTCATGATTTTGTCGTCTCACCGACACCAGGCTGTAAGCCAGTGTCCTGGTTTTCTTTTTTTGTCTTGCACTTCTCTGGCGGCTTGGTTGGTGGATTTTTTCATCTTTTTTGTGTGTCTTTTTTTGCAGGTTTCGGGTACATCATTAATTTTTCTAATGG